TCCAAAAAAATCATCCGGTTTTTGAATTTTCTTTGTCTTACATATGAAACTTAATTTATTAAGTGGGCAAGGCAGAATTTTCCATTCTGGCCTTTGTAGGTTTATAACAATTTCTACAATGCAACAGCTATTTATGCTATTTCTACTAGCTTGAGGTTCTGATGGGCCACTTGGAAGCTTTCTTTATTTTTGCCATCTTCACATTGGATCCGAAACCCAACTGCAGCAAGGAAAACAGTTTAACAAAACTCAAAACATTAACTTTTGTTCTCAATGCATGCATACAAAATATTAAGTTTTACTTCGTCGATAACAGATGCATACATACCCCAAAACAAGTTTATGCAAGCAGGGAACTGCCTTCATGGAAGAAGCTAAGCAAGCAAGGGATAAACTGAAGTAGGCATCAACTAATAATTCCAAAGGGGAAATTTATACTTCTGAAGGTAAACCTGAAAGCCAACTAAGGAATTAGGAACAATACAACCAGAAAAGATAACTGGCACATCATTGGCATGAGAGTCAGCTGAAGGCACCCCTTATAAATTCACCAATAACGCCAAACTTATAAATTGATACCTCAACTAGCAACAACACATTCTTGAAATGAAAATCTGCCAGCCATCCACGATGACTAAACGAAACAATGTTTGCATAAAAAAAATCTCAATCTATTTGAGTTCACCACAATATTTTTTGTCTCAAGATATTCAATGCCATCGAGGGACCAACAGCACTTAAACTAACTAAATCTTTGGCAAAAACTCAGCAATAATCGTTCAAGAAATGGACAGTTGGACAACAAGAACTCAACCGCTTCTCTGGTCAAAACAAAAACGAAGATATTTGAGGGCCTTGAAACCAAAATTGTTCCGGCAAGGGCGTCTACATATCTAATAGTAGTTTTGCAGAAATGTATAGTTGTTACCTGTGTGTTCTAAAATCGGCCTAGGCCGTCCCGATTGGATGCCAGAACAAAAGCGGGCGCTCCTAGGCGGTGGTGCTAGGCGGTTCTCCCCGTCGCCTTCCACATCCGGTCGTACTGAATCACCGCAGATTCCCCGTTCGTATCACCGCAGATTCGCCGATCGAACCACCGCAGATTCGTCCATCGAATCACCGCGGATTCGTCGATGAAATCTGACGAGGAAGTGAAAGAGAGAGAGGGGAAGAGAGAGAGGGAGAGAGATCGTGCAAAAGAGGGATGGAGGGAGAAAGAGATGATCTGCTGCATAGAAAGAAATAGAAGAGAGTGTGCAGATGAGATTTGAGAGAAGAGTGGGGGTGGGTGCGGCTAATGTCTTGCTTAGGTTGATAGGGTTTCCTTTTTATAGTAAAATACTAGATAGAGATGCCCGCACGTTGCTGCGGGATTTAAAATTGCATGAATAATTATGTTTGAAAGATAACCTAAGTTAAATCTAGTATAACCAGAAAATTTCTAACCTTTGAGCAATAGATAAATTTGAATAAATGAATGCATCTCTGCATCTCTAAGTTTCTAGAAGCGTTTAAGCTGAGACTAATAGATCCATAACATAGGTTTCAAAATGGAGGATAACATTGATCAATCTAAACAGATTGACGTCAAGAGAGTAAACAATTTCTTTTGTTCTTTGTTAGTTTACAAAGCTAACTTGTTTGAAAAGATTGAAAGTAAGTGGTCTTCGGCATTGAAATCCCACAAAATGAGTATATCAAAGAAGCAATTGGTTTTGTTGTAGAACATCGCTGAAGCATGCAGTGAGATCATCTTGCTGCGAACAAAAAGGAATTTATATAAATAATAAAAAGTTATGTAATTGTAGATGGTAAATCGTGTGATCTAATGGTTAAAAACTATGTGAGGTGCTTAGATATCAAGAAATAAGAAGCATATGGAAAGTGAGGACTTACTTGAGTTGGGAGTTTGGATAATGTTTTTAAGTGCTGTAAAAGTTTTGTTGGCTTGAGTTGGTTGAAATGAGATGTTTCTTTTCTGCACAAATGAGTTTCACATGTATGTTAAGATTATTAAGCTAATTTAGATTTACAATATTTGAGTTGGAAAATAAGAAACTCAAACAGATATTCAGTGTTTGTCTAGGTGAAGAAATTGAAACAAAAATTGAACAATGGGAGTGTAATAGAGAAGATACTTTTTGTGATACCTCCGATGATATCTGTAATGTTTTGGTGTTTCTGCACCACCTTTTTAGATTGAAAGCCTTCATCTTGGAGGATCTAAAATAACCAAAATCCAACAGAATAGAAGGAGAGGTGTATACCATACCAATTTGATATCTGATCTTTATTAAAAATTTGGACAAAATGAAGACCAGCTTGAATAAGTTCTTGAAATTAAGAGCAGCTTTGATATCTGAGATATAGAGATAATTAAACACAAAATATATATTGGTTATAATGTATAAAAATTAAATAAGATAAGCCAGAAAATATTATTCAAGCTGGGGATAGTTAAATTTGAAGAGATATTAACACTTACCGTGGAATTGCATGAAATTTTTTTTATTACACTTAGCCCCAAATACGGATGCATCATCGTCAGATGCTATTGGAAGCACAATGTTTCAGTCCCTCCATTTGTTTTTAAAACAGGTATGCCAAGAGGTTGAAGTAGTTGCTAAAAAAGTAAATAACTCATAATCATTTAAATGTCTAAGTAAGAAAATAAAAAGCATCTGATGACAGAATTTTAGCTATATGAACACATGTTGGAAAAAATTTGATTAATGTATGTATAAATATGGATACTTAGTGAACTAATAAATTATGAGCAAATAACGTTTTCAATTAGGTGCGAATAAATTGGTTGTACCAAAATGCTAGAACAATAGTAAAAAACACAAATCATAACTTTTAAACTCATAATAAAATGATACATGTTTTATACTGTTGAATGAAGTACATCATATATATTTGATTAATCTAAACAGACAATGGATATGAAGCTTGTCAAAGAATAAAAAGAATAGGGAAGTGGTTATACGCATCAGATCAGGTGTTAGAGTACTCAGCATGAATGAAGAAAAATATATCCACACCAGCTTAAGTGTTAGCAAATAATACAGCATTAAAGCAATGCTTCAAAAAGAACGACAAATGCAAATTGCACACAATAACTATTACATTATATGCCTTATGGACGATTGTAAGGTAAGTGAGGAAAAGATAATCTTAAAAAAAAAAAATTCTAATTAACAACCAGTTAATTTTGAGTAATCACTGAAATTAAATTATTTCATAAGGAAGGGAGATAGGGGTACGGTTGATGAAAAAAAATGGAATTACTGAAATATAAACCTAAATCCCATAAATAAATAAAAATAGAAACTTTATATTGAAATTGAAGCTTTACCTGCAGATCAGCAACAACAAATGGAATGCTACGACAGGTACCTCAAGAGTGAGCAAGAGCTGAGCAAAAGAAACTGAATAGAGATTCAAACGTTTAGAGTCCAAATTTAAGAAAACAAATGCTAATCAACAACCAATTGATATTGGGTAATCATTGAAATTAAAGTCCATAACAACTTGAAAAATTTTTGAGATCAAATTTACAGCTAAATGGACAATCAATTTATTGAATTATGTATTGTCACTGTTCAAGCGTGAGAAAATGATATACCTTGCAAGTGCTGAAATGATTGTTTCTTGGCATGTTCATTCTGGTAAATAATATCCATAAGCATATGTCTATTTCAGCACTTGCCTACACTTACCTATATGAAAATAGGGAAAATTTGATAACATAACGCGATACACTATTAGTAGAAAATTAGTGTACTAATTTTTGGTATACCTGTAGGCAGGCTTTTCTGATGAAGTTTAGCTGTGAGTCAATTTGGCATTTGATATTCCTTTAGCTTCTAAAGGTAAACAAAAATCAAAAGTATAGATAATTTATAAAAGCTGAATAAAAAAGAGTAGAAACTAAAGGAGAAAATTGCACATACATAAAATAGACTGCATTACGCATAAACCCATGAGCACAAAGCAGACAATTGATATTGAGATTAAACAGGTGTATCAAACTTAGTAATTAAGAAAGACCTTATAGTAGAAAGTTATACTTATGTGAAGAGTTTGTATCTGTTGCAAGTTTGCAAGTATTTTTTGCTGGGGCTGCAGTGAATGGAAAGGATAAACTTGGATTGATTTCTGTTAATACTATTAAATAAAATTAGTAATTTGGGACTGTGTAGGTAAACAAATGAATTATACTTATTAGATGAATGCCGAATGATTATAGTTATGAAAGAGACTTTTCTGATTTTACAAACTGGGTTATAAATGGTTTAAATAATAACATGACTGAAGAAGTTCATTAATAAAATATATAATTGTATTTAAACTCATCGCTGGGGATTTCAATTTAACCAAAACGTGACAATTTTCATGACATCTAATAAAACCAGCACAACAATATAATGATATGAAAATCTAAACACTATTTAACAATTTGAGATTAAATTATCTATATATATTAGAAAAAGATTGTAGAAAGCAGAAATTCAAAAAAGAAAGAGTTTTCAGTCCTTAGTATAACTAAAATAACATAGTTATTTCATTATTAAATAGGATTGATACTTGTCATCAGGATTAAAAAAATCAACGATTGAAGAATCTGCAAGAAATTATCAAATTGAACTGAAACTTATCAATTTCTAATCCAAGTAACAAAATAAAATAGTTGGAATCAAGTTAACCTATGTTTGCTATATGAAGGAAACTGCAACTCCCTTTGGCCTTTGTGAATAACACATTGTTTACTCTGCATACGCACAAAAAAACACTGCATCAACATTTAATAATAGTATGATGCTTAAATTTAAAAAAAGAAAGAACCATAAATTGTAATCAATTGTAATTTTTCAGAACAACCAAGTGGAATTTTTTTTTTTTTTTTTTTTTTTTTTTTTTTTAAGGAATGAGTTGTAGAAATCATTGAAGCAGAGAAATACAGCAGAATTTTTTTCTATTGTACCTAATAACTATGTAAATTTATAAAAGTATAAATATATGATTTCAATTGTATATAACGAATTCAAAAAAATTTAGCCATTCATTAACAAAGCTAGCAACTTGATTGTAAATTTTGCAGTACGTCTTTAAACACTATATTTGTGGTATAGTTATTTACATGATTTTCTCCATTTCCTATCAAAAATTTTAAGCCTTCTCTTGATGTGACTCTAGACAATGCAACATATAATTGACCATGGGTGAAAACAGGTTCAGGAAGATATAATCCAACTTGTTTCAAAGATTGTCCTTGACTTTTGTTAATTGTCATTGCATAACATGGTCTAACTGGAAATTGTCGTCTTTTGAAAATAAAAGGCCACTTATTTTCAGTAGCTGTAAGAGTAATTCTTGGTATGAACACTTTGTGGCCAATATTAGTTCCAGCAAGTATTTTAGCTTCAATAATTCTATTAAATAATTGAGTAACAACTAATCTAGTTCCATTACATAAACCCAAAGACTAATTTAATTTTCGTAATAGCATAATTGGCATTCCTATTGTTAAAACCAAACTGTGTGTAGGCAAACCATTGAAGTCAAGTTTATTTAAAAACTCAACAGGATACATTGTTTCCAGATTTTCTACATTTCCACTTGAAGAACATAGAGAATCATAACTTAAAAATGTATGCTGCTCTCCAGGTAATAAATCAATTATATAATTATTTACATCTGTAACAGTTGTATTTCTAGGTGTTACAATAGCTCGTTCTCTTAAATAAACAAAATTGTCAAAATAATTTTCAAAATTGGGGTATGTTGCAAAAAAAATTGAAGAAATTGGATTTGTAGAAGAATGAATTATTAGATCTTCAGGTATTTCAATCAATGATGTATCTTTATCATTCGAATTGTTTATATCACTTGCATTATTAATTTTTCCATCACCTATTTGTAAAATCCAATTTGCAAAATCAATCAACTTATTTTTTTGTTCAACGCTTAATCCAGTTCTTGATAATCTCATATTCTCTTTTAAACAAAAAATTTTAAAATTTGACCATAGATAAGAACTATTTAAAGAAGCATTTATTATATCTTCTTTGGTTCCTCCAGGAATAACAGGTAATATTTGTCGGAAATCACCACCTAATAAAAGAGGTTTACCACCAAATGGAACATTATTATTTGAAACATTTAGATGTGATAAAATGTCAGAAAGTGATCTATCCAATGCTTCAAAACAATATTTATGATTCATAGGTGCTTCATCCTATATAATTAAATCACTTTTTTGAATTAATCCAGCAAGATGAGTATTCTTTTTTATTGGACAAATTGTGGAATCAGTAATAGTCAAGGGAATTTTAAATCTGGAATGAGCTGTTCTACCACCTGGTAATAATAATGATGCTATTCCTGATGATGCTACAGCTAGAACAATTTTGCCTTCAGATCTAAGCTTACTTGTAATTACATCCCATAAAAAGGTTTTTCCAGTGCCTCCATGACCATAGACAAAAATAATCCTGGTTTTTTACTGTTTACAGTATCTATAACACAATCATACACATATTTTTTACCTTCATTAAGTTGTGATACTAAAAGTGTATGTTTTTTGTATAATTCTTGACAATAATAATTTAACTCTTCTCTCATAAGTTTGTTTTTTATTTCTAACATTTTTTGTGCATCAGGCATTGGTAAATGACATTTATTCAAAGAGGTAGATGCATTATTAAAAAGTATTTCTAGTTCAAATAATACAGAATTTTTTAACTCATCTTCTGGTATAATCATATCTGGAATTGCAAAAGTTTTTCTCAATTTGTATAAAATGTCATCATACATATTTTTCCAATGACTATCAAAAAGAATTTGAGGACTTCCTACATCACAAAACAAAACTATTGTAACAAACAATTGTCTCAATTGAGCAGACAATGCCACATTTACAGCACTTGACAAAGCTTCAATCCATTCTTTATCATCACCTAACAATCCTAATGATTTGCATGCAGAATGATATGAAGTATGTACAACACCATTTACAGTTTTTAGATCATCAAAATGTAATGCACCTTTTTTCAAATTTAAAAGCATTCTTAAATAATACAACTCACCAGATGCAGGATGTACATATGCTATTTTGCCGATCGATCCTTTAAATTTCCTTGGCTTCCAAGATTTTTGGCGTGTGTCGTACAAAAAATTTGATGGAAATTGTGCATAAGTTAGTGAACGTGCCTCATCAAAGTTCTTGTTTGTTTCGAACCAACTTGTTAACATTGTATGTTCAAAAGCTTTTTGTTTAATAATTGACTGCAGTGATTGATCACCATTGAAAACAACATTTTGTTCGAATGGTAAATGCACTGATAATCGTTCAACAGAAGGCTCTCTATGGTGTATAGAATATTGAAACAATCTCCAAACGGCTTCATAAGGTGATATGTATCTACAATTGAGATATGCTAATATTTCATCATTTGGATCTTTTGGAAAAGCTAATCGTGCTCTATCTGAACCTTTATTAATATATTTGAACAAATATTTTATGAGCATAGATTGACAACAACATTCAACATTTATATGAGCATTGTATCTCAAAAGCAGTTCTGCATTATAAGGAACCACAAAACTGTTATCAATTTTTATTCCATTTTTTATCACAAAATTTGCATCATCATCATGACGCCTATAAACTGGAAAACCGTTTGGTTCAAAAACTGTTTCATTTTTGTATGGCTTAGGAAAGTTTTTAGAACATTTATTTTCACGCATGCAAGTAGAGTTTGGATTAACATGACCACATGGTCCATGAATCATAAATTGATTAACAATTTCATAAAGTTGTGGATCAACAATTTTATCTGGCAATTCAGCTGAAATAATAGAATCTATATCTGATGGTAAAAAACACTTAAAATTTGGTTTCAACCATATTAACATATGAGAATGAGGCAAACCTCTTTTTTGGAATTCAATTGTACAAACATCTGTTTGTAACATAAAATCAAAAGAAAAGAAAACAAAAAAAGTCAGTTTGATAACAACAAAAAATTAAAAACAACTAAAATAAGCAGAAGAATGAGTTTTTGATACTTGCTTGAACTTCTCCAAAAGGTTTTCCAGATTTGATAAAATCAAGCATGTCATCAAGTTTAACTTTAAACACTTTGGAAATTATATCAGGTCTATCCTCAGGTTTAAATCCAGGTTTTTTTTAAAATTGTCTTATGATTTCTGGCCATTTAACATTGCAAGTAAATGTTATGAACAAATCGGGATGTCCATATTCTCTACAAATTGCCATAGCATCTTGATAATTATTAATCATATATCTAGGACTTCCTATATACGAAGTAGGCAACACAACTTTTTGTCCTAAATTGTTTGCATCATTATCACCTTTTAACACTGCATCATAAATTCCTTTGTAAATTTCACTCCTTAAATTTTTTTGATTTTGCCTGATATAATCCAATCTATCTTCTTCAAGTGTTGCATAAGAGTCTACCAAATATTGTTGAAATAGTCTGCCCCCTTTTAACAATGTAGTTAACCCTGGTTGTCGTTCTTGAATTTGATAAGCTATAAAAGCTCTCCTAGGCACTCTTTGTCTTTTACTTTTTTGGCCGTTATAATTTTCATTCCATTTTAAATTTGGTCTATACCCATCTTCACCATATGGAAAAAGAATAGGATACTATAAAGACATAAATTTTGGATTTAATTTTGTAACATGTTTTAACCCTTCGCTTTTAGACTCTATAATAATATCTCTATTAGAATCAAATAGGCCTATGTCACCAACTATTAAACCGCCTATTTCATCACACATTGGTTGGTCATATTGTTTACCATAATTTGTCTGCCTTCCCAACAATGTCATTTTTACAGAAATGAGACCATCAATTTCAAATTTATCCCTTGCCGTTCGAAAAAGTTTAACCAACTCATTCGATTCATCAAACATTTTGATTAAACCTTCAACAATTCTTGGATCAAGTTTTTTATTGTTTTCACCACAGTCAAAAGCTTTGAGACGATTTTGTACCTCATTATATGTATCGTAAACATACAATTGAGCAAATTTTGGAGCCTCATTATCAGCAGGCAAAAGAGATCCCATCAAATGACAAACTTGACCACTAATTTTGAAAATGTAAGGGCTTGTTCCATTGTTAATTGAATGATCAACTTTGGCTCCCATTGATGTAAATGAAAACATAGAATTGTAAGCTCTAATATTTTCCCGAAATGATAAACTTATTTGACCTGCAGTTGGATCAAGCAACAAATCTAAAAATTTCGGTGTTGGTTTTGGAGTTGAAAATTGAATTTTTCCTTGTTGACAACAAAGGGTAAAAATCGGTTCATCTTTTTTACACTTTTGTTTAAGAGATTCTTTCAACCAAAAAAAAGCACCACAATGAATACATTTGTAACTCATATCTCCAAAGTCCACATAATCTTTCACAACCCCTACATAAAAAGATGTGGAAAAAAGAAAGAAAGAGGAGATAAGCACAATATACCGTTAATTAAATGCCAAAATTGAAATTTGACAAAAAAAAAAAGTATAATATAAAATTAGAAACTTACCACTTCTATTTTTTTGAAAAAAAGCTTGACCTTTATTCATAAGATTGTGATCCTCATTTTGGAGTGTGTTTTGAGAATTATTTGAAACGTTAACAACCTTTTTTCCCTTTTTATCACGTGTTTGACACAAATTTTTAACAGGAGTCACACCCTGTACACCATCATAATTAGCATGATCAACAACACATTGCACAGCGGAAGATGTGCTAGTCCCACACTGATATTCAATCTCTGAATTTTGATACACAAATGTATCAGTTTGAGACAAAACAGTGTTATCACAATTTTGTAAATAGCTTGTTCTACACACTTTTTTAGGCTGCTGAATATATAGAATACAATATATCCACAACCAATAGTCTGGAAACACGATCATTAAAATTGCTTAACCCCAATAAGTATTTTTTGTCTTGCAAAAATTATATTGTTCAGTCACTTCTTTATACAATCTTCCAGTTTCAAATACCTAATATTAAACTTTGTAACAAAATTATTAGCACTTTTCCTTTTGCTCTCAACTAACTATAAAAAAGCAAGAAAATTTTGAAAGATTAATAACCTTTTGGCCTCGTAAAGATACAGGAATAAAAAGGAAAAACATAATATTTTTAATCCTTTGTTTTAGAGGAAAGAAAAAAGAGTTGAAGGTCTTGGCAGTTTAAAACATATAAGATAGAGAAAACACACAGTAATTTTTTTAATACACTATTACCTTTATTCTATTTTACAAATCTGGTGTATTAAATGATTATATATTCTAATTATCCTGTTTTAGATAATTTAATTACTCCAATTTGTGTGCTTTGCACATTAATTAGAGATAATTGTTTTTGTGTGTATTGGACATGGATGAGAGATAATCGTATATGTAATTATGTTATGATTTTCTTTGATTAACATGATATTCCCTCCTTATTTATCTAATTTCTACACTTAGCAGTGAATTGAACACCGAACCCAGCAACTTACCAATAATAAACACACAGCGACTGCAACAAAAAAATAAAATAAACACCGTTACAGAGTACAAAAATAAAGGAAAAAAAAAGCCATCAAGGAGAAGACATGGATCATTTTGTCTGGGAGGTGGCAAAAGCAAAAGCAAGTTGGGATTTAAAACACCGAATCACATATTCGGATGCATAAAAAGATAAATTAACAAATCCAAAAAGAAATAAAATTTAGAAACACATTAAAAGCTGAGATCGATGAAGACCGCACCTTGAAAAGGGTAAACACACAAACTCTTGGAGTCCGATCCCAATTCTGCCGTCGGAAAGTAAAATAGAATTGAATTGTAAACTTTTTTCGGCAAGGATCGCAAGATCGATACAACGACCACAGGTTTGCACAAACGCTGACAAACCTAGCTTTGAAGAGGTTCCAAAGAAATCAACCACTCCTCAGAAGATGGAGGGTGCAAACATCTAGAAAAAAAGCAAAGAACTGGGTTTGCTTCGGCCGGATTTTGCGAGAAAGAAAGGACAGAAGATTTGAGAGCAAGAGAGACCACGATGGAGAGCAACAAAAGCATACATCTGTGAAGGAAAGGAGCCCAAACTGAAGAAAATATCTAGAACACTCGGGCAAAGGACGATGACCGACGCGTGGCAAAGATGTGCAAAAGCGTCATCTCACTGTACCAAGCAGGTAAGACCACCGGAAACAAAGAAGACACCAAGGGTATTTAAGCCATTACACTGCTCGTGAACAGTGTTTTTCACCGGGTTTTAGTATATAGATAATTTTGGCATTTGTTATTCCAAAATTTTCATTTTACATATTAAATTTTTTATATTTAGAAAAGAAAAATACACTTTTAAGTGTAGAATGCAATTTTTAGAATGTCAATAATACTTTCTTTTTTTTTACAATTATATTAGGCCCAACTTCATCTTTCTTAAATAAAGAATGTAAGGCCCAACAATAACTTAAAATTTATGATCTTAAACTAACCTTAAAAGTTTACACGATGCTCATATTTTATAACAAATATTTATTAGGAAAACTAATGAAAAAATTTTGAAAATTTTGAGTTTTAACGATAAGGACAAAATAAAGGGTAAAGTGAATAGTAACATGATTGACGTTTTAGTGTAAAAATATGGCTTTTCGTTAAAGTGAACAGTATCGGGGGCTTTTCGTTAAAGTTCTCAAATTTATTTGGGTGATTTTGTATAAAATCAATTAAAAATTATGATATTAACAATAGGTCAATCAAATTTATTGGAATTATAAATAGGTCAATGAGACTTTAAAATACATTAAAACATCTAAATCAAATTAAAATTACAAATGATGCCATTACCATTTAAAACACCAAACATTTCCATCTCTTTCATTGTAAATTGCACCTCCCACCACCTTCAGACTTCAACCTCCCCTCATCCCACCACATTCAACCTCCATTACTTCAACCTTATCCACCTCCCACCACCTTCAACCTCCATTTTTTGGACACTGCAATGTAGTGTCTGTTTCTTGTTATGTGATTGTGCATTTGGATTCAAATAGGTTTGTGGATTCAGACACTTCGTTGCAGTGTCTGTATCCTGTTATGTGATTGTGCATTCGGAATCAAATAGATTTGTGGATTTCGGTTATGTGGATTCAGACACTTTGTTGCAGTATCTGTTTTCTATTCTGTGATTGTGCATTCGGATTCAAATAGGTTTATGGATTCAGTTGCAGTGTCTATTTCCGGTTCTGTGGATTCAGACACTTCATTGCAGTGTCTGTTTCCTGTTATGTGATTGTGCATTAAGATTAAAAAAGGTTTGTGAATTCAGACACTGCAACGTATTATCTATTTCTTGTTATATGAATTCAGACCTTCGTTGCAGTGTCTATTTCATGTTCTGTGCTTTTATGTTAATGTGGTTTTACAAAGTCGGAGTCTAAATCTTCGCCAACAAGTTTCCCAGCGTATTTGCTGCCACGTGCCTCACTTCCTTTTACGCCCAGAACACCCGATCCATCAATAACTTCACGTGCCTCACTCCCTTCGACACCCAACCTTGGCAGCCCAAAATTGAGTTCTTCCTCGACAATTCAATCTATATAAGAAATTCGACCCCTAATTCAATTTTTTGCAATTTTTTTTCAGATGAAAAAAAGAAGAAAAAACTATTGATTTGGCGATGTCAGCTAAGGAACCACACAATGTGAGTTCAAGATTGGCGACGAAACTCTCGATTTGGCATCACTGGTAAATTTGTTGTTGGTTTCTCTATATTCGAACTTAATCAAATCGGTGGCTGTAATTTCTTGCTTTGTCGGCCCTTGCGACTGCCTCTTCATCCCGTACAACACCTCCGTGACCTCTATTTCTATCTCGCCCTAATCAGACGATGCCGTCTTGGTCGACAAGGACATCTTCAACGGTCGATGTCTTCATCTTCGTCCTCATCTTTGACATTCACACTCTCCTCCGAACTATCATTGCGGATGTCTTATCTATTGCTTCCGTGCAGTAACCTCTCGCCTCTTCGGCTCAATCATCCATATTCTTATCCATATCTAATAATATTTAGGGTGATTTTGTATTTTATAATGACTTAAAGCTTATGTGGCATTTATCATTGACCTATGCCTAATTAATAAAAATATATCATTGATTAAGTCTAAAATATAAATATGTCATTGATGTATGGCTTATTAGTAAACTTTTTATTGACCTTTGGCTAAATTACCTTATTTATTTTGTATGTTTTGTATTGGACAAGGGGATCCTCTATAATTTTACACGTGAGGAGTTATTTCTTGGTTTCGTCAAGTCATTAATAACTTGATTATTTTCATTTTTTTTTTCAAATTTTATATACAAGAATGATTTTTTTTTTAAGTTTAAACATGCACTTATTTATATATTATGTTGATGCACAAAATCAGTGAGTACTTTGGTACAACAGTCAAGTTTGTGACCTTCGCTAGATTACTCCGGTCACTAGTGTGGATATGTATGTAAACTGATAGAGACAGGGAAGCAAACACAAGATGTACGTGGTTCACCCAGATTGGCTACGTCCACGGAGTAAAGGAGTTCCCATTAATTGTAAAAGGTTTACATAAGTACATTGGTTCAAGCTCTCTTTTAGTGAGTACTAGTGAATGATTTAGTACAAATGACATTAGGAAATATTGTGAGAGAATAATCTCTATTTATAGAAGAGAGTTTCTAGTTTCATTCTGACATTGACACATGTCGTGCTGTGATTGGCTTCTGATGTCGACACGTGTCGTGTTATGATTGACCTCTGACGTTGACATGTGTCGCGTTGTGATTGGCTTCCTGGTTGGAGGGAGACTCTTGTCGGTCCTTGGCGGTATAATGTTGACTAGTGCTTAGTAGTTTCAAGGTTGATCAAGTATGGTACAAACAAACATATTATATAATAAATTATTCAAAAATACAAATTCACTTTATCTGCTTAGCCTCACCTACCTTTTAATTAAGGAAAAGTGGCGCATCTTTTCCTTTTTTTGTCCTTGGGGGAACCTATCTGGTTTAACGGGCCTCTTGGCCTTCGAATTGGCTGATATCGAGGCTTCTCCTTTGCTAGTTAGCTCCAAGCAATGGTAAACTCGAACTGTAGCCACTTGTTTGACAAGGATATGCTGTTATCTATTATTACGTTCACATGATGGCAAATCTAGAAGGTTAAATGTAGTGATATCTTCAATAATAAATCCATCATTCCCAACCAGAATGTGTTGTCCATCTTTCACAACTCAACTGTGTTCTGGGATGCCAATCGCCCTAGCCTAATGCCCCCCTGATTTATGTGAACACCCATCAGGTTCTTCCTTGGTAGTGTCCCCCCGACGAGCTCTTAGTTAAGGTCAATGTTAATGCCAACTGGCTCTTTGCCAGTGGCGGGGGTTATTCTGCGATGATTGTTCAAGACCATAGGGGGTTACTTTATGGCTGGTAAGAAACTTGCCATCTCAGCATCGAGTGTGGTGGTTATGGAATCGCTAGCTCTACTTCATGGATATGAGTTAGCTGCAAAGCTGGGCTATGAATAGGTCACATTCGAGTCCGACTATTTGGAGGTAAGTACTCCCTTACACCAAATGGCAGTTGGGAAGCTTTCCCGATCTTGGTGAAAATCAAGCAGATTGGATATTCTTTCCAAGATTATTGTTAATCTTGGACTCCAAGATCGGTCAACCATACGACACATTTCTTGGCATCGTCGAGGAATTTGGAGATGAGCAGGAACACTTGGGTTAATTGACCTCCATTTTCATTGGTTCATGTGCTTAACAAGGATGACCTACCTTGTCATCCGTAATGCTTCTTTTGTAATAGTGGTGTAAGGGGTTGATTTGTTTGCTTTTGTTGCAACGTCTGTATCCCCTTACACTACTTCTTATCTTCTTTATTTGCAACTTGCTTGCCTCTACTTTAGGCTTTCCTTGTACTTCTAGCTTTTTCCCTAGTTATGAATATTTCCAGTTTCACCAAAAAAAAATAAAATAAAAAACTAGTGCATAAATGAAACTTTTAGTCTTTACCTTGATGTGAATTGGGGTTTCTCCTTTTTCCATGGTGGTAGGTCTCACGGCATAAATGGCAGGCGAGCTCGGCGTGTAGTTGTTATCAGGTTGGTGATCGTCGTGGAGGGATAGTGGTGAGTTTTTGGGAATGATTATCTATTACGTGACAAACATTTTTTCTTTTCTTTTTTAATCTTATGATTATTTTTTGGGCTAAACTATTGTGCGTGGTGTTTATTTGTCCAAGATGGCCCCTTTTTGTTGGGCCCTTTCTTCTCTTACTAGTCCGTAGTGGAAAAGACAGGAGATCTTAAATCCAATTGCAAAATTTAAAAAAATTGGAAACACATCTTTTATGTCTGAAGATAAATGATATATGCACTTATTATTTAGCTAAAATAAAAAGAGCTGCGTGAAAATCATCTTTCTTTTCGAAATCCAATTATATTACAAATTTATTCCAATTGTATGAGGATTTGAAATTTTGAATGAGCCAAAAAGAGAGGAAATCCGAAATCCGATTGGATTATTGAATTCTCCTAAGTTTGGTAACAATGGTTGGTATTCTCCTAAGTTTGGTAACAAGTGTTGGTACATTTGAGCACATCCATATTTGAAAAATAATCGAACCTTGAAACTAGTCTGATTTTAAATTACTACGTAAGCACTCATCACCACTTGGACTAATTTAACAAGTTAACGGAGAAGTATTTCACTTACTTCATCCGTTGTACTCATCATTTGCTATGTCAAACATACTATTAGTGCGTACGAATAATAATAATAATAATAATAATAATAATAATAATAATAATAATATATATTTTAATTTTAAGTAATCAAGGATGCCTGCGTGCTCCAAGATCAGTCTTTAATTTTCCAAATCGTCAATAGACGAAACTTCTGTAAGTCTTGTTTAAATTTCAATAAATATATTTTCATTCGAATATCAGCATCATTACTTTAATTCATTACTCTATCATGAATACTAAATCTATTTTAAATTTAGTTTTGTTTATATATGCTCTTGTTATTAATCCTAA